AATGATTTGTTTTAAAACTTTTTTTTTTACAAAATGGCGATTATCTCAGTTTCATTTTTTACTCCAAATTTCAACTTTAAAACTATTTAACTTTTAGACGGTTCATTTGTTTTCGATGAAATTTTCAGGGGTCATTATTTTAACCCAAAATCAACACCACCTAATATGGTATCATAGTACATTATTGTAAACCATAAAACTCAAAAGTTTAAATAAAACTCTTTCAAATGATATATAACTTGATTGGTAAAAAGTATATTTTACTCATGTAATTAGAGGCAATTAGAAATATAGTCTCCCAACCTGCATCTCTACCTTAAATCATGACTAGAGGGTATTTCTGGCTCGTACTCTCTGTGGCAACTTTTTAAATTTCCGAACACGATTTTCATTGCCTTCGCCGATCCACTATGTGAAAATGAGAAAAGCAATAGGAACTTTGTAAATGTTTTTTGAGATTAGATGACGCAATCTGTTTCAGTAGTCCAACATCACGGGACATTGATTGACAGCAGTTAATTATTCAAGCTTAGTAGCACGTCCCTTTTTTTCGATTCATGTTTTTTACTTTTATGCACCAAAATCTCAACTCCTACACTATTTATTGTCATAAATACTATATATAATTACTGCTGTGATATTCATAGTCACATACATCCATTTCGGCACAACATAATCGATCTTGGCTGGAGCTGTTTACTACAGCATGACTTTCAAGGAAACAATCTCTATTGTTCAGAAGCACATTGATAGTATGCCGGGCCTTTAAAAAAGTGGTCAATAGAGCATATCAAAGTGGCATGTTAAATAATTGTGTTGGGTCAAGTCTTCACATTACCAAATCATTCAGTTGATAGACAGTTATATCAGAATATTTTAATTGAGTATAGCTTTTGGTAAAACACACCACACCATTTTATTATAGGCAGATTAGGGCAACAATCACAGTGTTCACACAATTATTGAATTGAATTTTTTTCACTTTTTTCTTTTATTTGGACTGTTCTCAGCAACATGACTACACTTTGTTCAAAGTAAAGTAAAGTTTTTACATAGTAATTTCCAGACAGAGTAAAAACACAGTAAATAAGTAAATACAAACATGGGTTTCCAATAATCACTAGAATCAACAAATTATATAAACAAATTCAATATTTACCACTCTTGTAGCTAGGAAAATCAGCATACACTGTGAAAGCGCCCTCTACAGGTCCATATTTCTGAATCTCAGCCATAATCTGTTGTGGATCAGAGCCAACAGCGTAAGATGTAGAACCTAAATTAAGAAAATTAACATTCGCATAATCAGCATCAGTGAGATTGGAACATAGGTTGTAAATTACATTTGAATCCAATAATTTAAAAGCACAATATACATTAACAATTTTGGGAATAATTAAGTTACTGTAAAATATTTTATTTTCACTTGGAAGTTATTTTTGCTATTATCATTGAAAGGGTGAATAAGGGTGAATATACAATTTTTCCTATACTATACACAGTACTCATCAAAATTGGGTGTAACTAAATGTCATACAAAACAGCATAATTCAAGCTAAATAAAGCATTTCACGGTAATGTTTTATTTTTTGTATTCACAGGAAAACAACTGAACTTCTAATATGGTTTTAAGCAAAAAAAGATGCATTCATTTTGTATTGTTGAAAATCAATGAGTGAATGCCAGCAGTAAACTCAAATGACCCCCTCATACATCTTCGCCAGCCAAGGACCATTTATTCAGCCGAAGCCTCAACATTAACCCTTGGCAAATTTCACCACGATTTACTGCATGTTGCATGCCCTAAAGCGATTATATGATTCACTCGGGCTCATTCGTATTACCCAATCAGAACTCACGATAGAAACAACAAGGTTTGAACAAATATTTAGACATTCCAGTCTTCATTCACTTGCCCACAAACAATTTTCAACATTGGAATAAAACATTTTGGAAACGTGTCAACGAATATAGACCTTCTGTTCTTGACTCCCGTTGAATCAGCGCAAAGGCTACACACTGCCATTGTATTAATCTGTGATAACCCCAGACATTCACATTCACGATACAGCAACGCTGATTGGTGACGCCAGCTCCTTGGCGTGCCCAATCAAATGACTCAATTTCACTGCAGCGAAATACAGTTTTTCCTAACATGATCACGCATGGAGTATGAAATTGATACGGTAAGCAGCTTAATTTACATTGCTAGTTATATGTGATATGATGATCACTAAAAAGAAAATTCCTGAAAATTGTCCTCTCTTGAAATTAAAGCAGTTCAAAGTATCTATAATATTATATTTTAGGTTAAAATTAGTTTTGAAATGTATGTATTTGGTTTAACACTTACCATATTGTTTGTCCTGAGGATAAGTCTGATTGTATCCTGACTCGCATTCTTTTTTACACTTGGGTGTGGGTCCAATATCTCCACAGGGGTCATACTTGCCACTTACATGGTGGTCACAATGTGGTAGACTATAAGGTTGACATCCTTCATTGGTTCCATACTGACCACCAGTCACCAATCCTTTGCTGACCCAGAATGACCAAGCAGCAGATGGGAATCCACCATTACATCTACAATAAAACATAACATGAATGTCACAGTCCCCGTTATTTAATTATAAAATACTCATAGAAAAATAATACATGGAACATCTGCAACCAAAATATGTCTCATACATGCTCAAGAAACTGCATTCATAAATCTGTGTAAACCTTGTTGTACCTTTAATAACAACTTGACTTCTTTGTTAATTCAGGTCTTTGTATATTACCAGGACCTGGGTTTGTTTTTAGTATCACTACTATAATTCCCATTAAAATGTAGCCCTGACACCCCTCTACATTTTCTACAGGGATTAGTAATGGTATGACCCATCTGTCACTGATTCAGATCATGGATGTACTAAGAAAGGATGAACCACTGACCAATTTTCTTTGATCTATCTGTTTTGCCGCTGATTATTTTGAAGTAATAAATAAACATTGATGTTTACTTCTAATTACGCTTAAGATCGTAATCGCGTAGCTGGGTGATCCCTAAATCTGTTTGCACTGTGCGTTCGGCAGTTCTCGGAGTCGGTCGGCACATCCGGGTCACGTGCCATTTCCGCCTAAGCAAAGATGGCGTCGCATGTAGTGGAGCACATTACCGCTGAAGAAAATGATAGTTTTGATTATAGTGAAATTGAGGCGTTAGAAGAATTTATTCTGAGTGAGGATTCGTTTTGTTTATGTGGAGGTTCGGAAACGAATGAGATGATTTGTTGTGATTCTGGAAATTGCGAGTTTGGGTGGTTTCATTTTGCCTGTGTCGATCACAGGCGCTCGGAACGTTTCCTGGATAATAAAAAATGACCTAAAGTGGGATCGGCATAGTTATAGTCAGTCGCCGGTAAATTTCCCTACTACTCATATAATAACACAAGGTAGGAAAGCGTTGACACCATGGCATCGAAACTTCCCGAAAATAACACGATTTTCCAAATTATATTTCGATCCGCTTCACAAAACTCAAGCATGATATCAGTTGAAACTATCAATCGACTTACATTACCTTTATTCGAACTAAAACGGGTTAAATCCTGTGAAAATCGAAACACCAGAGCAATATGAATCAACCCGTCTACGCGGATATTTTGAAGCAGAGGCTCGTGCATGCGCAGCTCCAAACATGCGCAGTTCCATATACATATACGCGCGTACTGCGCCGTCTCACAATTTGAATATCTAGGCCCAGTACATATTCACAGATGATACCGATGTACATGTACCTGTTGATGCCGAGAAATAAAGATGTCTGATACAAATTCATTCGCAGCAACTTGGTAAGCATGTCATCAATAATATCAAACACATTGCATTTGTTCATCAGTGTTCATAATCTTTATTTGTGTTTCAGTTTTACTCTGATGAGACAAAATAAAAAAAAAAAGAAATTGGAAATTGGAAATACAAGTAACTTATTATAATATAAAAT